GTTTTCTGAATTGTGCATCACACAGGCATCATTATAAACACCACCGCAGAGCATTTATAAATGTGTGAAAATAGCTCTGCTGCTCTACTGCTATAGAGATATGATCACCAGAATATGACTGAGAGGAAGTGACAGTCATGTGTCACAGCCTACAGCACAGATCACCCTTGGTCTTTTGACACAGGGGATTCCTCCACACACACACACACACACACACACACACACACACACACACACAATCACACACATTTGGCCTCTGGTACATCAGTACTTCAGTTGCCTCTCTCCTCTCATTTTGAATCATATTCTTTATCCAGTATCCATTGCTGGTTAATGCTATGATGCACTTCGGGCTGTGTTTGTGTGAAAAGCAAGTTTTTCTTCTTTTGAAGAGTCTTCAGAGAGCTGCTGAGATGCAGAAAATCAGATTACTATGGAACTTTCATAGTTATGTGTTATCTGTGCAAGAAGGACATGGGTTATGTAAAAAAAAAGTGTTTTAAAAAGTGTTTAGAAAAAATACATTAAATTTATTATTTTTCCCCACAATAGTTTATGGGTCAAAGATATGATGCAAATGTTTGTGTTTGGGTCTATTTATATAAAACAAAACAAATTCTATGTTTATTTTATGCAGGACTTGTCAAACTGGTGTAACCATCCTGTCATTATATATAAAAAAGAGTCTTGTTAAAAGTCTGAAATTCTGAAAAATAAATAAATAAACCTTAGCAAAGTTTTGCATAATCTCTAATTATTATTTCTTAATAATAAGATGAATAATACTACTGTAGTATAGTATTATAGTAATATAGTATATAGTATCGTAATCTATATACTATATTATTATTAAAAATCTTGTCCTTCACACATTTTCCAAAAACTGCGGTACAATCAAGACGTTGGGGGGCTTTCTCCAGGTATTATAAATCGTCTTGCATATATCTACTGTAAAATGTAGGAAATCATATTGTCATTTGACAGGAAATTATATCACAACAGGATCCCTGCAGACCCTGATATAAGTCTCAGGCATATCAGATCATTGTACCTTTGTATTTGCATAGTTGCATGTTAAATGATATAACTCCAGAAAAGGACAAAAAAATAAATTGTTTTAGTAGCATGAACACCTATAGAAGTAAGAAAATGTGTTTATTTATTTATTTATTTGTTTGTTTTTATTTATTTATTTATTATGTAATGCTGCACCTCTTCATTTCAGATTTATTTATTTATTTGTGTATTTACAGTGCCAGTTTCAAGAAAAACCCTCCTCGCTCATCTAAAAACGAACTCCAGCATATTCAGTTGTCAGAAACTTTAAAAGGGACTGTCTGGCTTCTATGGT